TCAGGTCCGAAGTTATGATACACATAAGGTGCGAAATGGCGGCAATTTTGAAATCCAAGATGGCCGCCACATGGTAGATGGAAAAAAATGTTACCAATGGATTTAAGGCTTAGGAAGGTAAACTCTATCCAAATATGACAAAAATTCCTTCTTTAGCAAAAAAAAATTGTAAAGTACATAACAGCCTATACTATTAGGTGAGAATCAAAAAGCAACAATAACCGCAGTCCAGGGATGTAAAAAGTAAAAAGCGAACAATGTACAATTGCCAAACTTAGTGCTGTATTGATATTTACTTCCCTTAAAATTCCCTTACAATTATACAATGTATGTTTGAGTGATGTGGATCAATAGATCAATATATACACATTCAATATCGTTTGTGAGGAAATAGTGAAAACTATAATGACCCCGAGGTGTTAGATGATTGGGACCCAAGCGAAGCCGAGGATGATTTTTTCCCTACATGTTGCATTTGTACCTCATAAATATTCATCAGGCAACGTGGTATTTCTTTGGCCATTCAAACATGTTTTTGGTTGTGCAGTATTTGGATATTAACTGAAACAATAATTTCAATGTAAAGAAACAAACAGAATAGAAATTTAATGTTGTGTCATCCCTGAAATAACTTTAACATTCACATAAAACACTGGATTTATTACAATTATCAAAAATTTCACCCAGTTCTTCATCGGTAAAATTTGCAAAGTGAGCGCCACCGGTCGCCATTGTTATGTATACCGCAATAGACTAGACAGGCTGGCATATCTGGATGTCCTCACTGTACCGGTGATCTCCAGGGTACGCACATAAAGCCTAGGCGTCGTTGGTAAAAAGAGAACATACATAGTACCAGGCTGGAACAAATCTAAGGCTGCCACCAAGGTGTGTGATATAGTATTATTTATGGACATCTGATTATTTATTTTTTATCAAATGTTTTCCGTGAAAACATCTTTAAGGCCAAGTAAAAAAAATTATCGTCTGGGTTTTTGAAAACTAGGAGAAAGCGGGGCTTTTTATTTTTTATTTGTTTCAAGATGGCCGCCATTAAAAGAAAAATCCTGCAACCGTTGGTGTTTCCACTGTTCAAAGACACTTTTAAAAAACAAGTTGAACAAGTTGAACAAAAGAACTAATAATAATAATAATACCAAGCATTTATATGGCGCTCTACAACGATCACAGCGCCTCACAACAAACAGCTTAAACAGTTACTGAAAATTACAAAGAAATCATATACACACACACACAAAAACTATTATGCATTGGGAAATAAGTGTGTTTTGAGTAGGCGCTTGAAGATCGCTGTAGACGCAGCTTCCCTGATGTCAACCGGTAGTTGATTCCACAATTTTCGGGGCAACAACAGAGAATGAATTGTCACCCGTCTTCTTGTTTGAACGAGGAACAACCAGCCGGGTGACATCAGAAGAAGAGCGGAGTCTCCTGCGATCTTCAGATCCATTCAAGTTGTACAGGGTGAGGCTATCAGTGATGTAACTCGGGGATTGACCATGGGAAGATTTATATACGTACAACATAATTTTGAACATGAACCTTTCTTTGACGGGGAGCCAGTGAAGTAAGCGGAGTAAGTGATCTGATGAGCTTTCTCTACCGCATGAAAATACAAGACGCGCAGCTTTGTTTTGAAGACGCTGTACACGTCTAATATCGACTTCCCTGGCACCGTACATCAGTGTGTGGCATAGTCAATACGGGAAAGGACCAAAGATCTGACAGCACTATGGCATGCATCTTGAGTGAGGAACCGCCGAATCCGCCACAGATTACGAATATGGAAATTAACACTTCTACAAATTCTATTAATGTGATTGGTCATGGTTAGTGCAGAGTCAAGTATGACCCCAAGATTCTTCACAGTGGTAGATGGATTAATGCAGATGTCCCCAAGTTTTAACTGAAGATGTGGTAATGTGTTAACGACCTTCGGGGAAGCAAACACGAAAAATTCATCCAAGTATTGATTCGAGAAATACAAGTGGAAAGGATGGTTAATGCACGATCGGAATCACCGGCAATCTTTGGATCAAATTCTGTATAGAGCTGGGTATCGTCTGCATAAACGTGAAAATTGAGATTGTGTTCTCTGATGATATCACCAACTGGATGGGTGTACATAGTGAAGCATTGTGGGCCTATTACAGAGCCCTGGGGTGCTGAAAAACTCAGAACATGCTCAAAAGACTGAACAGTTTTAATGGACATTCTGGTTGGACGATCATTGAGGTAGGACATGAACCATGAATTAGTCGCACCTGTAATACCAAAACGATTCTCAAGTCTTTCAAGAAGTATTATATGATCAATGGTATCAAATGCAGCTGACATGTCAAGTAAAACCAGGAGAACAACCTTGTTTTTGTCAAGGGATTGCAGGATGTCATTTTTCACCTTGAGCAAGGCAGTCTCAGTACTGTGGTGGGTTTTATATGCTAATTGGAACTTCTCACCAAGATTGTTGTTGTTGACATGATTTGTAACTTGACATGACGCATCCTTTTCAATTACTTTTCCAATGAACTTGATGTTTGAGACAGGTCGATAACTCTTAAGGGCATTATGATCAAGAGTGGGTTTCTTAAGAACAGGTGTGATGATGGACCGTTTGAATGTTTCAGGGAAAACATCAGATGCAAGTGAGGCGTTAAATATTCTTGTTATGATTGGTAACAAACTAGGCAAGCATTTTTTACAAGCCAAGATGGTAACGTGTCTAGTGAACAGGACTTGCTTGGGAATTGCCTAATGAGTTTCTCAATGTCGGGTTTGTTGAGCATCTTAAAATTGGGCAGATTAATGCAAGGATCTAGCTGAGACTCACATACAACGGTATCAGAACATAGTGAAGTTTCAGGTACAACCTTTGACCTAATTTGCTCAACTTTATCAATGAAGAAGGACATAAAACTATCTGCAAATTCAGTTTCAGAGTCACAAACTGGCAATCAGTGTTGTAGTCGAGACCGGATAGTCCGAGACCGAGACCAAGACCGAGACCTGAAGTTGCGAGACCGAGACAGAGACCGAGACCAGCCCCTTCAAGGCGGACCGAGACCGAGACCGAAATGGTCCGAGACCGATACCGAGACCGCGGATAATAAATAACAATAATCTAAATAAACAACAAGACACTAATTGCAGCTGAACAGTCTGTCCTTGAAATGTTGATGTTCATGGGGATGTAAAGGAAGTGATTGAAAGTTAGGAATCACTTGTACCTGCTTAATTGTGTCATGCGAGTGCTCTTCGTGTTTGCTTCACGCCATAAATTACAACATGGCAACAGAATTTTTATTGTCACAATCAATTAAAACAATATGAAACAACCTAATTTAAAGAAGGGGAAAACCTTATTTGATGAACTCAATATATATTTTTTTTTTATTTTTTTTTTTGAAATTGTTCAACTACTATAAAGTGTAAATCTGATGAAGAAACTCTAAATTAGGAGTACGACAATTTGTACTAGTTTTTGCAAAACTTGAACATGTTGAAACTTGACAAAAGTAAAAAGTTCAAGGTGGATGTTCATCTGTTATAGGAACTCGGACCCTAAACTCCACAGCCACCCCTTGGTTTCAGCAATGACCACTAACGGATATTTAAATGCAACTTTAATTTTACATTGGACCTCCTTGTAAACCTGATTCGAAAAAAATTTGGAGCAAGAAAATATTGATTTATTTTTTAAAATTTCAGTCATGGAATATAGATTTGTATACGTAGACCAAAAGATTGAGAGATGGTAGCCATATATGGATTGGTATGCCCCCCCCCCCATCCCTCTTTGTGATTCTCCTTCCAACCCTGCATGTTTGTGTGTCCCCTACATGTTTGTTTCTTGTTCCTCTGTCATTTACCTCTGAAGAAGGCCTGGCTAAGGCTGAAATGTAATGCCACTTTATTTATGTTTAATGTCAATAACGTTACATATACTATAGAAGATTGAAAAACCTATTTGCCTAATCTATCTTCTGTTAATCTGCCCGCCGTCATCATCGTCATTAAGCTAATTGAGAATATGGCCGACACAATAGAAGGGCGCATTTACAAACTGAATGTGGTGGGCGAGATGTAAATTGGTAGATTTTTAGATGGTAGTCTGGACAAGCACGATCCCAGCGGCCTGATGATATGAATTGAATAAATAGGATGTGCAAAACCAACCTCGTTCCCCATGGGTACGATCTTGCCGCGCCATGTTGTTTCCCATCATGCCTTGCGCGATCTTAACCCCTGGAATTGTGCAATTTAAATGTGACAAAATATGGCACCTTATAATTAGGCTGCAATGTATCCGTTTTTCGTGCGAAAAAGCTGCGAAACTGTAAATTTTCGTTTTCACAAAGTAAATTTGTGTTGTTTCTGGTGTAAAGTTATAGCCTCGTTTATTCCCTTAAACTAAATCGTTTACTGCCGACCTACATTTCAAATAAAAAAAGGGTTTAATCTCCTCTAAACAATGAAATATAAATCTTTGATATGCAAGCATTCACTGCGGAGATATAGGCGTAAAAAAAAACACGTATCAGCTCTAATACGAAATGAAGTCATTTACGCGGTAAACTATAATTTAATTAATGCAGGGCTGAGAGTCAACAAACTTGGAGGAAATATAGTTCAGATATCAGACTACAATAATAAAAAATAAAAAAAAATGTCAGCTCTTCTTGTTTTTGTTTGCTCACGGTCAACAAAGTTGAAAAATTCCTAATTTTCAAGACCTAACCTACATAGCCCCCTAGACAGGTCCGAGTGCAATTGGTTGCCCTTAATTGACATTTTGCAGGAATTGTTGTAAGAGCGTAGCAAAATCTACATTTTGCAGACTTCACCTATTGGGCGGGTGGGTGAGTGGGCTACCTTTGGTGGTGCGCACTGATCCGGTAGGAGGGGAACGTCCTGTTGCTGTCCACCCAGTTAGCGCGCAGTATCGAAAGAGGGCGCCCTCGCATTACATCACCGTCAAAATGGCAGCCATGGACATGCTGTCTGTGCAGCTGCAATGTGATTTTACTAATTTTGAGTATTGCAAAGCCATCGAATGTGGTGTAAATCCCTCTTATCTGCGCGAACTAAATACAGTGCAACTTAATTGATAGATGCACAAAAAACATACGGAGCCATTTGCAGAAGTGGAAAGTCGCTGCATATGATGTGAATGTCGAGTGGAAACTGATCCTTCTGCGATGTGGTTTGTTCGACGTCGATGCATACACTGACAAGACAATATGTCCAGCGCATAGAGTTGGACATAATCAAGGAAATGTTGTCATCCACTCCATTAAGGGAAAGACAACCCATTCCGTGGTGTGAATAAAGCAACTAGCCGTGAGATGTTTGATCGATGGGGTACCCTGATCACAGTTGGAACAGGTAAGAAGACATAAATCAAACAAAAATACATTTCTGAAATGAATCAATCATGGTCATCATGGTCATGGTCCATTTCTGATCAACTGATTTTGTTTCTTGGTAGGTTATATCGGTTAAATCCCTTATCATGCAGTTGACTTTGTGAATTTTTTTGACTCAGTGAAATTCATTATTGTGTGAAAAATTCATACTGGTTGTCACAGCTCTGGACCACACACATAGTTTTCGGCAGTGGACACACATGGTAGATATTTAGCCGGAGCTGGATTTAGAATTTTTTTTATACAAAGAAAGTTGGAGCTGCACTGAACATGCGCAGTTTGGGGAATAAAACAAATATTTGTTTTGCACTTACATTGTTGTTTTGACTTTTATTCACGAGATGTGACTCATCAGACCATTTACAAAAACAATTTCAGGTGTGTTTCCCCTTTTATACAAATCCTCTAGAGCCAGCCACATCAGAAAAAGAAAAAGTAATACGTGCAATTAAATACAGTCAATCTAAAATAATAAAAGAAGATTTGTTATTTTGTATTTATTTATTTATTTATTTATTTTTTTGGGGGGGGAAAATTTATGACATGGGTTTTGTTCAAGGCATCTATTGCTCAATATTGTTGGCTACATACGCCCCCGCTTTTTAATTTTTACTTTTAAAAAATATTAAGCCTGCTTCGGCCTCAACACTTTGTTTATTCTTACTGTTTATAGGACTTTCAGGTATCTGTAGTGGTTGTCTATCTAAGCACAAACAAGCAGTTACGCACCAGACAGCGGAACAATTACCACCTGGGGATGTGCTCTCTAAGGAACAAGAAGAGCAGCAGTGTACAATCAGTGATTTCACATCGCCGGCTGGTGTACCATCTCTTAAACCCACCGACACAGAGTGCACTTCAGTTCATGAGGTAATGAGATTGAACTAAGAATGGACCTTGACATATTGCATCTCATTTATAACAGATGAATTGTAAGCACTCTTCTTTGAGTACATACATTTGTATTTCAACCCTGCTATATGTAGCACGCATCTCACTGTTTTTATTTTCTCATGATTATTTCTAGCATACGTCTGAGTCCTCATCAACTGATGGAGATATTACACAGGATGTAGGTGCACTTGACTCTTCTTGGGCTCCAGTCCCCTAACCAAAGAATGTGGAGCTGCAATCCCTGAACACTTTTCTTACTCAGGGTGGAATGTCTGCTGTTGATGGGCAGCTTCGTCTGTCATTAGAAGAAGCATCTGATAGCACCATCCGTTATTATAAAAGGAAGGCAAAGGAAGCCTTTGGTTTAGTTCTTCATTGTTAGCACCAGGTCAAGAAGATGGGCTCATGAAGATTACCATCGGTGAAACAACTGCTGAATCATCACGAAGTGGTCAAGATTTTGATAGTAGTACCCGTTGTCATTTTTTTTTTATTACATCCTTTTTTACCAACAATTTTGCAGTAGTGGTTCCATGTTCTCTTCCTTTACGTATTTTGTGTTTAAACAAAGGGTTATCATGGTTTGTTATTGAAAGACAGTGACTGTTCTTGTTTTTTAATGTTAGACTTTGTATGGATTATACAGTTGAATTTTTTCCTATCTTTGGAATAAACATCCAAAGGTGGGTCTAGTAGTTTCAGTTTGAGTAAATTTAAGAAGGACAAAGATTTTCTTGATTTATATTCAATTGTTTTTTTTTCGAGTTTGATCGTTAGGTCGTTCCATGTGTTATTCTATTTTGATACTGTGTTGGCTCAGTTTTCTTCTTTCAACTTCCATTTAAGTTTAAAGTTCAATTTAGTTTTGTACAGTTGACTCTGGTTATAGCAAGGTCGGTGAGACCGCCCAAACTACCTCTTTAAACAGAAATGTTGCTATAAAGGGACAGCGAAACAAAGAAACACAAAGAGAACTAGAGATTTGAGACATCAGAATTTGCTCTTTATAAGCAGAAGTAGGACATCTTTGTAAAAGTGCTCTTTATAACAAAAGTCGGCTGTATAGTACTACCATTTTTCTTATTTGGTTGTAGGGATAACAGGTTTAAGGTTTGGGAAAAAGTTAATTCGGATCCTTTTTGATTATTGCTTTTTATGCCCCGCGGCGATATAACCGAAGGGGCATACTGTTTCCGCCTTGTCCTTCCGTGGGTGGGTGGGTGGGTGGGTGGGGGTGTGTGTGTGTGGGTGTGTGTGTCCGGACAAATCTTGTCAGCGCGATAACTTGAGAAATACTTAACATATGAACTTCAAATTTGGTTTGTGTATTGTTCTTGGTAATCCTAACAACCCGTTTGCATTTGGGGCCGAAAGGTCAAGGGTCAAGGTCACAGTGACTAAAACAAAAGAAATGTTGTCAGCGCGATAACTTGAGAAATACTTTACATATGAACTTCAAAATTTGGTTTGTGGATTGTCCTTGGCAATCCTTAGAAGCCTATTACATTTAGGGTCATAAGGTCAAGGGTCAAGGTCATAGTGGCTAAAACAAAAGAAATTTTGTCAGCGCGATAACTTGAGAAGTTCTTCACTTGTGAACTTCACATTTGGTTTGTGGATCGTTCTTGGTAATCCAAATAGGCCTATCGCATTGGGGGTCGAAAGGTCAAGGGTCAAGGTCACAGTGGCTTAAACAATAAAAATCTTGTATTTATTCTGAGATCATAGGAATTAGGGATTAATTCATATAAAACCTACAGAAGACACTAATGCTGTCAATGAACGTTCCATGTGACCAAGGTACGGTATGTGTAAGTTGGTGGTAAAAGAGTGGTGTTATGTCATGGGAACAGTCACGGTTGCGGGGCATTTGTGTTTGTAAACACACCTGACTTGTTTTTAATGGTTTTCTCCAAATTTTGGTTGTGAAAATAATTCATTCTTTTTTGTCGTCTTTCCAAAAAGTTGTTTGTCATTGTTTATATTTATTCAAATTCCTCTCTATTTGTTCCTACCCCATCTAGGTCTCTGTCATTTTTTACCCTAACAGTACCCTAACATTTAGCATTTTTCTCATTCAATTTACTATTTTCGAACTTTATTAATTTTCCGGGTAACATTAGCATGCCAAAAAAATAACAGAATTGTCATCCAAGCCTCATCATTCCAACATTTGGTGCACGATATGTGGGTGTTCCCCCCCCCCCCCACCACACACACACACACCCATTGTGTCTTCATTGTGTTCTGGTAATCTCGGGAATTCTTTAGAGGATTATTGGGGGATACTTCTGTTAACAAAAAGACAAGTGTGTGTGTTGAGTATAGGAACATTTGTGGGGACTCCTTCTTCCATCCTGAACTCTGAAAGGTGGCGGTCATATTGATTTAAGTGAACCCCCTACCCTAAAAATGGGATAAATTAAGGGATTGTAACGCCCCTAATGACGTCTCCATTATTAAAATAGGTTTTAATTATATTGATCCTGAAAAAATATACACGTTTGCCAATTTTCATAACATTCAAGCAAAAAGACAGAAATTATGTGAAAAATACATTTTTGACCAAAAAGGTGCAAAAAAAAAACATTACAAACGCCCGCTATTGAAGATTTTTAAAAACATTTTTGACGTTATTATTTACAACTTGGAAAAATAAATCTTGATGGCAAATTTCAGGAAAATTGGTTGTCGACTTTTGAAAATACAGAAAGGAGGGGGGGGCACTGTATGCCCCTCCCCTGTACTAGCAAAAATAGGGGTAAAACAGGCTCCTGCCATTTCATACTAAAAACTGCTGACAATATTTGTATTATTGATACTTGAAGACCATGATGAGAACTCTCTTTCACCTAAGTATCATTGTTCAAAGACCTGCACTAATGACGCTACGGCGACTTAAAGATCGCTATTTCTATGACTCAACTGTTGGGGTACCCCTAGTGCCGTTGCCTCCTAAGAGCATTTTATTTTCTAAATTTTGAGTTCCTGGTTTAGGTCAGGATACAACCTCAAGACCCTGCAAATTTCATTGCTCTGTTCCTTTCCCTGTTGAGCAGCAAGTTTTTAAACTTTTATACCCCAAAATCATAAAAATAACTATTTTTTTCTAAAAAAATCCCCACATTTTTGGCTCTTTTTTTCTGCTACGGAGGTCCGATTGGCCAATATTTTGCACAACCTCAAGGCTATCTATGACCCACCTACCCCCCCAAATTTTAACCAAATCCGCCGACCCCCACCTTGTCATGGTCTGCATGGTCCTCTCGTTTTTCTTTTAGAAAAATACCTCCAAATAGTAAGTTTGCCCTACCATATCAATAAAGTAAACAAAAAATATCTCTCAGACCTACCTCTGAAGATTTCCACACCCCAGGCTGTAACATAAGAGGTGCTCTTCTTATTCTTTTGGCCTTCTAATGCTGGGAACTCTGCATCAGTCAGCTGATCAAATCTAGCACTTTCAGCTCGATTTTCTTCATCTTTTTGATCACATTCTGCTTTTTGATTCTCTATTTTCATTCATTGCCATCAATTTATCCTCAGTGATATCGTCAAAATCAAAAGCAAGGTCAAAATTTGCATTAGGAATGTCGTCTGACACACAGAATGTGAATTGTACCGAAGTGTTGCAATAAAATGTGAAAATGTGTGTTTATATAAAAAAAAAATGATAATAAAAAGCAAACAATATTTTTACATAACCTTTATAGGCTTGGTCGAGAGGTGTGCATTAATTGCTTTTTTTCAATGGTTTTGAATTACAAATTATTTAAAAATTGTTTTAAATACATGTACATGTATAACTTTTTTCTTACCCCAAATTTTCTTAACTCCAAAACCCATCACCTTTTCTCAGGGAACAATTTATCTTCTTTCACAAAAATACATAACTCTCGAAATTATGACGTCTCACCAAAAAGAGCGCCGAGAAAGCAGATATTTTTACATCAACTTTTCAGGCTTGGCTGGATTATACTTATTAATACTTCTGGTATGGTTTTGAAATATAACTCGTTTAAAATGGTTTAAAACATAATTTTTCTCTTAACCCAAATTTCTCTGAGCTTCATAACCCACCCACTTTCGGGGCAACAATTAAGCTTTTTTGATTAAAATGAATAGTTTTCGAAATTGTGACGTCACTCTGATACAGGATGATACGCAACGCGGAAGTATGAATAATGTCAATCAGTTGCCGTGTGACGCGTAGCTCTTTTTTCTCGTCCACACAACAGATAGCAATGCAAGGCAAGCGAACGATGGCCATAAAAAGTGCTTCAGAAAATTCGCAATTTTCATGGCAAACCGTAACCGATCCAAACAAACAAAGTTGTTTCAGGTGGTTAAAGACCTACTTTGAACATCTGTCATGGTATTTTTTCTTTAAAAAAAGGGATTTTGATGCATGTTGACCATGTTATTTCACGGACAAATCGAGTAAAATTAGGTCACGAAATTCTCCTAAATGTTGAGGTAATCAAACGAAAGAGTGAACGTGATGTCGTTAATATTTTAAGAATTCGATGTACACCTAATGTGTCCAACAATTCCCATTTTTCACAACGCCAAAAGATCGTCGCCATTGTAAAGCATAGAGCAAGGAACCCAAACACGGTGTGACCCATACGCCTACTGATTGGTCGAGCTCGAGTATGGGCCTGCTTAATATTCATACGTCATTCATTGCGCGTTCGCACTCGCTATTCACAATATTTTCAGGCAAACGTGCACTTTGTACGTCGGTGTACTTACCATTCGATTACACGCGTACGTGTGATTGCAAATCATGAAATCTCGCAAAAGTCATCATTTTTCAACCGGCAATTTGGACCAAACATTAGGAGTCTCCTGCACGTGTTTCACATGGAAATGAAGCGTATACTTTCTTCTATCTACTAAGTTTCACCACTTCTTTCGGCCTTTTTTTAAGAATCGAATGTACACCTAAACTATCGGCCCTCGATTTTGTTGATAAAAAGTATGATTTTGTTTGACAAGCAATAACAACACTTCATATTTGTTAAAAGCAGTTTTTTTTGTTATCAAGATAAAACACACGATTTCAACTTTTTACTTATTTAGCCATCTTGGCCAAACAGTGCAAGTACCGAGGCACTTGTTTGTGTTTTTCTTTAGTCTCTAATAAATTTCGTAAAATCTCGCGTACACTTTTGGGCCATGTGTGCTTGACCTCGAGACGAAAAACTGAGGTCAAACAGGGCTGTGTGCGTGACACGGCTACTGACTGAATGTAGTCTATGTGTAGGGGCCACCTTTGTTGCTAGACGGTCTAAACACTTCTAGTCATGTCTTTATCATAGTCCCTGGGATATGGCCATTTAATTGCAAAATTTAATGATTAATCTTAATATTATTTTCTGTTGTAGGGTACCTTTGGACATTTGAAAATTGTGCTCTTAAGTTGCACAGCTGGTACTTTTGCCTTCCGGCTCCTGGTATTTTTGGGGCTTATTTTTTGAGAAACGGCTAAAATCATATGTTGGGCCTCTGTTCTCAAAAATGGCCCCGTCGTGGCATGTTTGAACTTTTACCATCCTGAACAAGAAAAAATATGGTTGGTCACAAGTGTATCCATATTCGTGTTCCCTGGGCATATATTGCTTTGCGGACACCCCCCGAATACTGTGACTTTACTCTGTTTGGGAACAGAAATGAGCTTGAAACTCATACTTATTCCAAAGATACACGCTTGTTTTGTGATTTAAAACTGCCTGAGATCACGAACTTTAATTTAAGTGGAAGATCGTCCTTCTGTCTTGAAAATTGGGCTTGCCATTGCCATTTTGCATCCCCTACCCCTAAATCACTCAAAACAGCTGTATAGAGGGTGGCATAGCAAACCTATCATGCATTTTATGATAACAATGCCAAATGTGGTACAGAGATAGTCCAATATCATGTCTACAAATGTGGATAGTGGAGCATCGCAGATCTGGCCCTTGACGGCCATGCGAGCCATCATTTAAAAAGTGCTGAGTCATGTTGAGTCAGCACTATTTTGTAATGCGTTTTCTTGTGCATTTTGGGGGCTCACATGCTTTTTTGCCTTTTTTCTACACGCTTTGATGTGAAACAGGCATAAACAATGGATTTTCTTTCGATACCTCATTGAAAAAAATTAACAATGCCTGCCAGCTGATGTAAGGCCTGGCTACACCTGCAAGAATTGTACTGCACTATAATGTAGAATACAGATGTATATGTAGACCTACACAAAGTTAGTGGAATTCAAGTTCTGACTCACCAAAGTTCTGACTCACCAATGACGTCCTGGCAATGTTTAAGACCTTCCACTATCATAGCAGGAATTGGTCTGGCAAAACCTTGCCCCACAAATAAAAATCAACTGATTTTAGTAAAAAAAATGCGGAATCAGCATTTTTTTAAATACTGATTTTTGCTCAAGCTTCGTTGAAACAAATATTTCTGGGTCATTTTCATCAACGTTAACCTTAGTATAGGGATACAAACATGATTGTAAAATGCAGCGATAGTGATTTCTTGTTCTTTATGGGGTGTTGAGGGACAAGCTGGTGGAAAGTTGGAAAGGGTAGGGGTTGGACTACCAACCGTATCTATGCACATTCAATATGTTGCATTTGTTGTTAATTATGTGCAAATAAGTGGAAATATGTCATGGGAACACCATTTAGGGAAAACTTTTATAACACATTTATAAGAATAAACATTTGCTAAAAGAAAAGGGCTATACGCACTGTGATATTTTTTTCGTAGTGGGGTGGGGTGGGGGGGGGGGCAAAACATGAATCCGCCCCCCCCCCCCCACCCCACCCCACTACGATTCTCCCTTCCCGGGGCCATGCCCCACATTCCCAATCGTGTCCAATCTGTCCATATAACAATGGATTTGTTTTTTTTGTTTTTTTTCACGAATTTCATTAATTTCACGTTTTTAGTGCAGCCCGGGCATGTTGGTCAGTGACAGCTGGGTCCAATTTAATGAAGTCTTACAGCTACAGAAACTTTTTGAAATTGCTTCCACACAACAAAGTAAGTAAAAAAAAAATACCAATAAAACCAAGGCATTTCTGTTGGCTTGGGAAAATCGGATGCCAAAATGTGGCATAGTAGTGCCCCTGCAAACTGACCTCCCCAAACGGTGAATTAAAGGGGGATGTGCCCCCCTTTGTTTTTAGTTACGTCGTTAAAAAGGCAGAAAGAGGGGCATGGCCGCGTTGCCCCAGCCCTCCCCCTTTAATCCGCCTTTGGGGAGGTCAGTTTGCGGGTTTGCTTTTTCTCATCCGTTTTTCCCAAACCAACAGAAATGTCATACAATTTATGTCTAATTCATTGGTATCATTTTGCTTATTTTGTTGTGTTGAAGCAATTTCAAAAAGTTTCTGTTGCTGTATAAAACACGGCGTTTAGTTCGAACCGTATGACCAACATGCCTGGGCTGCACAAAAACTTGTAATAATTAATGAAATTCAATTCAATTCAACTTCAAATGCATTGTTCTGTGGACAGATTGGACACAATTGGGAATGTGGGGTATGGCCCTGGGAGGGAGGATCGTGGGGGAGGGGGGTTCATGTTTGCCCCCCCCCCCCCTCAAAAAAAAATATCCCAGTGCGTATGTAGGCCTTTTCTTTTAGCAAGTGTACATTGTACCTTAATGTGCTATTTGAGTTTTCCCTAAATAGTGTTCCCGTGACATAAAAGTCCACCAATAAGCATATACTAGGAATTCGATATGCATACATATTGTTGATGGCCAAACCCCGCCCCCTGCCCCCCCCCCACCCCTCCAACTGTTAATCACTTTGTCCACTTTTATGAAATTGACCTGGACATTAGTTTTGCCACCGAAGCTTGAAACGGTTTTTGCTACTAAAATCAGTTGATTGTTATTTGTGGGGCAAGGTTTTGCCAGACCAATTCCTGCTATGATAGTGGAAGGTCTTTCAAACATTGCCAGGACGTCATTTTTGGCGAGTCAGAGCTTGAATTCCCAACTAACTTTGTGTAAGTCTACATATACAACTGTATTCTACATTACAGTGCAGTACAAGTCTTGCAGGTGTAGCTAGGCCTAACATCGGCTGGCAGGAAAAGAAACTCCATTGTTTATGCCTGTTTAGCATCCAAGCGTGTAGAAAAAGGCAGACAAACATGTGAGCATCCATATTGCACAAGAACACGCATTACAAAATAGTGCTGACTCAGCATGACTCATCACTTTTAAAATGATGAGCTAACACGGCCGTCCAGGGCCCGAACTGCGATGCTCCAATATCCACATTTGTTGACATGATATTGGTCTATCTCTGCACTACATTTGGCAATGTTATCATAAAATGCATAATAGGTTTGCTATGCCACCCTCTACACTGCTGTTTTGAGTGATTTAGGGGTAGGGGAAGCAAAATGGCAATGGCAAGCCCAATTTTCAAGACAAAAAGCTGATCTACCACTTTAATTACAGCTTGTGGTCTCAGGTAGTCTTTAAATTACAGAAAAAAAATGTGTATCTTTGAAACTGTCCCTAAACAGGGCAAAGTCACAGGATTTGGGGGTGTCCGCAAAGCAATATATGCCCTGGGAACACGAATACTGATACACTTGTGACCACCAAATTTTTTTCTTGTTTACCCATCCTATCAGGATGGTAAAACAGGTCACGACAGGGTCATTTAGGAGAGAGCAGTGGCCCAAAATATGATTTTAGCCGTTTCCCAAAAAAATAAGCTCCCAAAATATCAGTTGTTTTGAGCTGGAAGGCAAATGTACCAGCTGTTCAACTTAAAAGCAGCATTTTCGGATGTCCCACGGTACCCTTCAACAGAAAATAATATTAAGATTAATCATAACATTTTGCGATTAAATGGCCCTATCCCAGAGACTCCATTTAAGACTGGCCACGTGTCAGGCTCTCAACCAGTACAAATGCGTAAACTGTCTTAGGTATTTAGGAATAAACAATTATGAATTGAATAAAATATAACATGGCATTCCATTTTTTTCAGGGTGGTACTCTGTTTGGCTCAAAGCTTAAAGACGATGCAGTTTATACAGAGGATCTCGGGGATACCTCGATAGAGATTGTGATGTCAGACAACGTACAAGAAAAATTCAACAAACTGAATGTAGAGGCAGAGCTTCAGGTGAGTGTCTTGACCGGTCTGATCAAGTTGAGTGGATCAGGATCCTACCTTCAGGAGGAAAGAAAGAGTGCTAGAGCTCAAAGCATGAGTCTAATCTACAAGCTGAGAACAGTCAATGAAGACTTCTCGCTTCGCCGTAACAAAGATAAGATCGACCCAGACATTCTGTCACCTTCAAATAGGCAAACCATCAATGCAACCCATGTGGTTGTTGCTATTGATTGGGGAGCATTTTGCGTGGTTACCTGTGAGTACGAAAACAGTGAAGATAAAATTGTCACTGAAGTCACAGAGGCCTTGAGCGCAGAGCTTGAAAAACTTAAAGGTTTGATTGATGTTAAAGAGTCCGCTAAATCCTATGATGATCAAAACACAGATAATCACAAAAAGTTCACCTTCAAATACAAAGCGGATGTGTCGGCTCCTGACAAAGATCTACCTGTGACATTCGAAGGTGCTGTTGAACTAGCGCGAAATCTCCCACGTCTAGTTGAAGGTACAAACAAAGGGAAGGGGGTTCCATTGCTTTACCAGTTAATGCCACTGGATGATGTCATCAAGATGTGTAAGTTCCAGATAGAACCTCAAATACAATACACATCAATCAATGATGACATCATCAAAAAGTGTGCACAGGCTGTGGAGGGAATCACCAAACAGAGACAATCTCTTTACGATATTCAAAATGATCTGCATGCCAGCGCCAAATATGTCGCTGAAAGATCTTTAGCTATGATCGATGATATCCTAGAGAAGTTCATTGTGCAAGAATGTGGATTTAAGTCTAAGCTTCAAGATTTGGTGAAGAAAGTCAGGTCGGGAGTTGTAGATGTCTCTGAAATCGAGGCTTTCCAGGGTAAAGAATCGTCTGGGGCATTTTCCAGTTCCAAGTACAACGATCACATCACAGGATTTAAAAAAGATCTGAACAAGCTAAAATATATCACATCATGGAAGAACAGAGGAATCATGTACATCGGGAAAAAAGATGAAGTCACCATGGACGACAGAAAATTTGTCTACACACTCTACAAGACTCGGGACAAGAATGTAAAGAACGATCTTGATGAGAGAAATTGGGAGCTCTTTTTGCGACTACAAAAAACACATGCTCACGATGACGACTTCAAATTCATTGTTGTGGACGAAGACCTAAGAGAGAATATTTGGCCACCAGGCGAAAAGAAGACAACCATTCATAGCTTTGTAAACGGGGTTCGAAAATCGGCAGACCTGTACTCCGAAGAAGGCCAAGACTCTGAGATGTGTCTGATACAAATCACTAGACCAGTCCACCGGCAAGTACGCCCACACAAACGAGCACATGTTCAGCTAATATGCCCACATGCTTTGGCCAGAAATGGTCCATGTTCACGCGACCCTGTCGCTTGGAAGTGTTACAGATGCAGAGAGTTGTTTGAATATGGCATGGAAACTAAACTGTTTTACTGCAAATGCGGAGAATCTGACCCCAACAAATCATTCTGGCGTTGTAATGAGGAGGATCACGGCATGAAATACATCGAGTATCCACAAAAAAATCTGTCTGTGGGGTTGTCATATCTTCGGGCCATAAAGGAGAGAAACATCTTGATCTTGGGTGAGACAGGCGTTGGAAAATCTACGTGGATAAACGGTTTTATTAACTACCTTTACTATGCTGATCTTAAGGAAGCTATGAATGCCAAGGAATTCCAGGTTTTAATACCGTCCAGTTTCACCTTTACACAGCAAGGGAATGAAAAGATGATAATGGTTGGGGAAAGCGACAACAATGAGAACATGGAAGCTGGGAAATCTGCAACCAAAGAGCCTCGTCCATATGTCTTCAACGTAGGAGGGGAAATCATTCGCTTGATTGACACGCCAGGAATAGGAGATAGTGAAGGTATACAACAAGATCGAAAAAACTTTGACAAAATACTATGGCTTCTAACTTACTATGATGAGATTCATGCTGTTTGCATACTTCTCAAGCCTAACAATTCACGTCTAACAGCAATGTTCCGCTTTTGCATCCAAGAACTCTTAGCCCATCTGCATTCGTCGGTCAAAGACAATATTGTATTCTGTTTCACCAATGCTCGAGCTACATTTTACCAGCCTGGAGACACCTTGCCTACCCTCAACAGAGAGCTCAGGAACAAACAGGTTGGAATTCAAGCTACTCCAAGGAACTACTTCTGTTTTGATAACGAGCCTTTCCGCTTTTTGGCTTGTGTGAAAAACGGGGTGAAATTTAGCGAAGTAGATGTAAACACTTACGCTGAAAGCTGGAAAAGGTCTGTTGAAGAAACCAAGAAGCTATTTCAGCACATCAGCTCTTTGAAGCCCCATGCAACTAAGAAAACTTTAAGTATGAATGAGGCTCGAAGAATCATCGTGGCCATGAGCAAACCCTTGACAGAAGTGGCCAAGACAATCCAAACAAATGTACAGGAAGGCAAAGAAGAAAAGATACAAATTGATCTGTTCGACAAAGATATGGACAGCTTGAAGGCTAACCTAAAGTTTAATGGATTTGACCTTAGGCGCGTAGAGCTAGACTATCCTAGAACAGTCTGTACTGATTCAAAATGTGTCAGATATGTCCCAATCGGTGCGAGTAGTACGAACAACACAATATACGAGCAAATATGCCATCATCGTTGTTACCTGGGCGGACTTCCAACGGAAACAATAAATGATGCAAGACTACAATATTGTTTGTGCATGGACAGGAATAATTATTGTTCGCAGTGTGACCACCATTACACCACTCATATGCTTATCTCGTACGACATTGAGGTTTACGCCAAGGAGTTCCTTTCTGAAGGCGTTCAATCACAAATCAATCAAAAGAAAAGCGCTAAAGAAACCAAGGAAGCTATCAAAGAAGCAATTGAAACCAAAAATGCGGAATTGATGGAAGAGGAAGAAATCATCATGAAAACTAGCGCCAAGTATGGCTCATTCCTCAAAGCAAATGCTCTCATACTCTACAATGACGCAGTTGGAGACTGTCTTGACATGTCTATTAAAGAGGAGGGAGACAAACCAAAGGAAAAACGAAATGACACTCTTTTGACTACCATGAAAGAAATGAAGGCACAATATGAACAGGAAAGGAGAATTTTGGATAAGGCAATCAAAGAAGGTGGTGGCGAAAACATACACACTCCAGAGGAAGTGATGAAGCTTCAGGAAGAGCTCTTTGACCTAAAGCATATGGGACAGACATTGAAAGATCTCTTCGATGGGATTTCCATCGCACACTCTGCCAGAAACATGGCATTCAAAGAGACGATTGTCCCCACTCCACAAAATTGCAAGAAAAAAGGGGAAAAAAATTGGAAATTACCTTCTTTAATGGTGTCGTTAATAAACCGCTTCAAATAGAAGGTACAAATTCAGCTATTGGTCACATGCAGGACACAACAGTAACCATTTTGCAGGCCGATGGCCTTTTTAAGCTTAATATCAACCAACAAAAAAATCCTACAACGACAACAGCAACCCATACCCATCTTCAACAACATCATCGATGTCACCACCTATCTTAATTCAGACTTGATATATGCGGTACAAACTTATCAGATTATAAGATTCGTTTTACACATATATAGGGCATGCGTATTCTTTCCAATGAAAATTAATCAATTTTATCACAGTACTCGAGTTAAATACTTATTAATTTTAGTCTTTAAAAAAATAAGCATACACCAGTTATTTCACAGCTCTATAACTCTGTCATTACTCAATTTTATGGAGCTTGTATGTGTCGACAATGTACTAAAGTCTGGTCCCTACTAAATGGACTTGCCAGGCAGGCTTCATACTGAACCCATCACTCACAGGCACTCAATCCTTATGGGTAGCGGTAGACCTTCGTCTCACTACACCTCACTGGCTCTGGCACGACTCACTTCACCTCACTGGCTCTGGCACGACTCACTACACCTCACTGGCTCTGGCACGACTCACAAAACCTCACTGGCTCTGGCACGACTCACTACACCTCACTGGCTCTGGCACGACTCACTGCACCTCACTGGCTCTGGCAAGACTTACTCCACCTCACTGGCTCTGGCACGACTCCCTACACCTCACTGGCTCTGGCACGACTCACTACACCCCACTGGCTCTGGCACGACTCACTACACCTCACTGGCTCTGGCACGACTCACTTCACCTCACTGGCTCTGGCACGACTCAGTACACCTCACTGGCTCTGCCACGACTCACTACACCCTCACTGGCTCTGGCACGACTTACTACACCTCACTGGCTCTGGCACGACTCACTACACCTCACTGGCTCTGCCACGACTCACTACACCCTCACTGGCTCTGGCAAGAATTACTACACCTCACTGGCTCTGGCACGACTCACTACTCCCCACTGGCTCTGGCACGACTCACTACACCTCACTGGCTCTGCGATGGGTCAGTTAACTGGGTACAGAATGGTGGAGACAGGGTGGCAATCTGCATGAAATGCAATTATTTAAGCCAAATACAAATTATGGACTCAAAAATCAAACAGATTTTTGGTAACATAGCTATCCAGATTATTTTACTAGAAACACAATATGCAAGTCAAGTTTTGTACATTCATTTTTATAGCCGTTTCATTACAAATCGGTCTTCAGTATATCAACGATCTTACAACTGTGAGCCACATTTCGATAAGGACCAGAGAGATTATTATCTTGCATTTTACTCAAATTTTATAATTACATTTACTGATAATACACTTCATCAATCACGGCTACAGGGTGGGTGCTGCTATACCAGACTGAAGTACTGGTAAATAGTGGTACTGGTGGTGAATTTCGGCACTGACAATTTTGGCACAAAGCCGACAATCAGTAACCGAATTTTACCGATGTATCAGAAACCCTGGATCATGTCATCGGTCTACACACGTCAACCTTGTTTCATTTTTAACACACTCTCTCTCCCCCTCTCTCTCCCCCTCCACCCCCTTTTGCTCAAACATACCAAATCTCTACCAGTGTGTCAGCGTCAATAACAATGAGCCGCATCTACACCTATGTTACATAACTTGACCCAAATGTAAATTATACCCGTGCGACACAATGTACAAACGCGTTATTCCACCTGTTGAGTACTAATGTTTGAAACAAGACTATGCGCGGGAATGATACCGGGGGATGATGGGAGAAAAAGTTTGTATACGTCATACAGCAAAAGATAATTTGACGCGTGAATGTGTGTTCGCGTAAAATAAAAGTACTCAAAAATTGGGGGAAATGGGTTTTGACAATTGACAATGAGTCATTGAATGAACAATGGTTGGAAGCCGTCAGAGAAATTCAATTCTGATATCATATTCTTGCGTGGTGAACAAAAGTAATAGTAGTAATAGTAACAAAAGTATAATAGTATAATAAAGAGTATAATAGGATAATAAATCAAAGAACAAAGAACGGAATTTAAGTAATGATTATCATTTAACCTAATATTGCATTGTGTAATATGAAAGTAAAGAAAACAAATTGTAAATAAAAATACACATATTGCTGTACCTAAGTTGTTTAACATGAAATAAGACAATACTGTGTACCTTTAATATTACATTTAACAATGCAAAAAAAATAGAACAAATTAATATTGAACAAATTAATATTGAACAAATTAAAATTGAAAAAATTACATGTATATATCTCCTGATACTGCATGGTTAAATATGAATTTAGGTAACATTTTGAGAAAAATGTCGTGTACTCCTGCGTTCTGATGTTGTGTTTTTTCACATGAAAGTAAGGTAAACAAAATAATTTATAATTTTACTGTTTTATTTAAGCATGAGCTTCAATGAAATTATAATATTTCATTTAAGCATGAGCGTAAAACATGAGCGTTAAGTACAAACAAAGTGCTGTATTTTTGCTGTATTGCATTGTTGAGCATAAAGTGAACTGCACAATACTATTGTACACCTGATATTACATTGAAAAAATGCAAGTATGCAAATTATAGATCTTCTCCTACTGCATTGTTGAACGTGAAAGTAAAGGTATAAAATGTTTGTTCTCCTGGTATAGTTTTGTACATGTGAATGTAGTAAAAATCATCATGTATTGTTCTCCTGGTAAAGCTCTGTACATGAAAGTAGTCAAAAATCAAACTGTTGTCCTGGTGATATTCCATTTAAAAAATGACAGTAGAGCACACAGTACTGCGTTACTAATACCACATTGTTGAACTTGAAAAAAGTAGAAACATCAAATTCCAGATATTTTTTTTTTATACAAAATTATCGCCAAACAAATATAACAACATGATATTCTGATATCATGTTGTTGAAAGTTGAAGTAAAATAGGACAAATATTGTTGTACTGGAATTGTTTTGTACATGTACAATGTAATTAGATTTATTAAACAAATTATTGTACCGGTACTTGTGATACGTTATATAAACTATGCAAGTAAAATGCGAAGGAACGTTACTTCTGTATTGCTGATGCATTGCTGAATTTGAATGTTAAGTAGGTAAATCACTGTACTCCTGATATTGGTTTTTACACAAAGGTAACGTAAGCAAAGAGTGCAACTCTTTGCTTATTGTGATTTGTGGTATTACATTAAACATTACAGTGCTGTATTTCTGATATCATATATTGTTAAACGTTGAAGGAAAGTAGGAACATTAATTGTTCTGGTATTAGTCTTTCGTACATTAAAGAAGCACACAAATATTGTATTCTTCATATTAATAACGTGAACGTTAAGTTAGTTCAAAATCTTGTTGTATGAACTTGAAAGTAGATTAGAGAAATTATTGTTATCTTTGTATTATTTAGTACACACAAGTAGCGTAAACAAATTATTTCACTTGTGACATTTCAATGGGAATAAATTACAAGTGTTGCTGATGACTTGTAAAGTGGGAAAATCATTGTATACGAAAGTATCATAAACAAAATTATACTTGTATTTTGTTAGAACATGCAAGTAAACAGAGTGTTGCACTTTTATAATATTGGACTGTAAAGCATGAGAGTAAGATAAGGCAAATTATTATACTCCTGATATGATTACACTATCGTTTATGAAAGTAAACAACAGTTTTACCAAACTTGCCAATTATATTTGAATAATTTCCCAAATCCGTATATTTATATGGAAGGGACATAGGAATTCCAGTGTTGTTTTGTTTCAAGGGTATGGCACCTTCCAAACTTTATTTTCGAATGTGTCCATCCAAAAAGTTATCCTACATGTACAAATGTATATTTCATTATACAGATGTAGGGGATGGCATTCTGTAGCTAAAACATGGTGTTAAACACAGTATTGCACACTTCAGTTTTAATTCAAGCATGATAAATCTGGCTGTTTTTGTGATATCACATTGTCAAATGTTGCAGTAAAATAGGAAACTTATTATTCTCGTGGTATTGGTTTATTATGAATATGAAAGAAGCCCAAACAAACGATTTTACTTGTGATATTTCATTTAAACATGAGAGTAAAAAAAATCATCAAAAGCATCTAGGCATTGTACATTTTAAAGCCTGAAGAAACCCATAGAGAAGTCAATAAGAAGAAATTACAGTATTAGAGGTTGGAGTAAAACCTCTGAATGATATTCTGGGAATAACCCACAGAATCAGGCATGGACTAAAACCCAATCCACATATTGGCCCAGGCGGGATTCGAACCTGGGTCACAGTGGTGGAAGGCGAGGAAAGTACCGCAATGCCAATATGACGGCACTGCCTCTCTCCACCAGCAAAAAACCAGGCCAACTTAAGAATTTATTGTAACTGGGATTTTAATATGGATGTTTCGCAACACGATAATAGCTTTAACTCAAACCCAATGATTTCTTGTTTTAATTTGTTTCAAACTCAAACTACAATCGATCTCATGCTCAGCTCCCACCCAGAGTTCATAAAAGATTGTGGTGTCTTACAAGTTCTGATAAGTGACCACTTTCTTGTTTGTGGTTTGCATAATTGGAAAACGCCTAACATGAAAGGCCGTTCAATTAATTTTCGATGTTTTGAAGATATAGATAATGCTGCTCTACAAGATTTTTTTTTTTTGGCACCATCATGTCTTAAACATTCTCAATACACGTCTTTAATATAATATTTCTGATATGCAAGTACTTGTGTTTGTAATTATTATTACTCATCGTATGTTTTGCCAATGTACTTTTCCTTCAGACTTTAACTTTACTTAACATTATGTAATAATTGTTGTGTATGCTGGGACCCAATGGAAACCAGTTTCTTAACTCTTTGACACACCCTGTGTGAAGAAATGGAATAAATCAATTAATAAATCATAAGTGACAGTGAGTCAGTCAGCCAATCAGTGAAGAGGTCAGTCAGTGAGACGGGTAGGTCCTTTAGGACCAGCAC